ATCGGATTGGAAACGGTACGGAAGCGCAGATGGAAGCGATACGGCAAGCGCGGTAGATGGAAGCGGTACGGCAAGCGCAGATAGGAAGTGGTAAATGGAAGCGGTACGGGAAGCGAATGGAAGCGGAACAATAGTTGGTGGTAAATTAGTAATTTAACAATAGATTAGATATGGATTAGGTAGGGCATCGGTGTGTTTGTGTTTGCAAGCATGTTAATAATAAACGAGTTTTATTTACTCTGAAACGATTGCCTGAATGATTCGTTATATTATTTCAAGCATGAATCCGTATAACGGGAAAGTTGGTCGTAATACTTGTTCCGCGACTGACTGAGTGGCATTGGATAATTAATTATTATTTATTTCAACGCGCGTTACACTCTTATCGAAATTCCAACTGTAGAATACCCGATTTAATCCAGCGGTAGAGAATAGTATTCGTTCTCGAGAATAATTACTTATCTAGGACTCGTGTGTACGATCCGTCTTAGTTACGCCAAGTCAGTACTGAAAGGCCTAATTAAAAAGTCACTAACTGTTTGCTACGTTTTAGCTATCGTTGAGTAAGCCACGCACTTTCGAAAGCGTTAATAGTCATTCGCTTTTCCGTAACCGTTGACTTGACGAATGAAAAATTGTCTGTTCTCTAGTTACGGCGGACATTACGTTTTTTTTTTTATCTTTTTTAGCTTCAGTGGATTGCATATATAGCTCACTTCTAGACCAACGATCGATTTCAGTTAAGAGCAAGAATGTATTTAACCTCGAACAATCGTCCAAATATGTTCGTTTGCAAAACTACAAATGGCAAACATTGAGATCAAGACGTGTTGCTATTTGAATTATTGGAGTCACAGTCAAATTCCCTGAAACTAAGTTTTTGAAAGTGTCTTTAGACCTAACTTTGTAATTAATCTATTAAGTTTTATAGTTGACAGACTTTTACATACAAGAGTTGGTTACTACTCAGTGTGGTAATTATTCAGGCAAACTTGCCAAATTTAAAACAATTTTATGTTAGCAGTTCTGGAGTATCGGTCGGAACGATTCTTGGGCTGATGCGTAGATTGTTTATTAGTCAGTCTATTGGCTTAGTATATTATCAACTAGCAATGCTAAAAGTCTGCTTTGCTTTGCAGAAATTCATACTAAATTAGTACATTTGTGGGCAAATTAATTCAAATAGTTTGATTTTTTTTTTTTTTTTTTTTTGTAATTAATATAAGCAGAGAATACGTTAAAAATCTATAAGCACTGTGGTAAATTTGTTACAACATTAAAGATAACGTAAGCAGTTCAAATACTTTGTGAGGATAATTGCTTATAGTTGGATAAATAATAATAGATAAACTTATGAGCATTTGCGAACATTGTTAAAGCTATCGATTTTCCAAACTTAATTAGGAGATAGAGATTTCTTTTCGAATACGAAACGTCACTAATTTAGTTTTTGGCAAGATTGACAAGTTGGAAGTTTGTTTACTGTATCGATACGAGCAATATTATTTATTGTAATTGATGGATATGATTGAGATAAGGACTAGATAATAAATTCTCTTGCGTAATCCAAAAAAGCTTTTTTTTTGAGTACAACAATTTTCCACAACGTACGCAAAAAGACAAGGTAATGGTCAATTAATATTTTTTTTGAGGACGGAAAGACGGTTTCCATGTAGGAATGGCAGCAGTCAGTGGCTATGGACGTTGGATAGAGATTTAAAAAATGGGTTGAGAGAAGTGGTACGTGTAGGTGGAAATGATTGATGAAAAGAATCAGGTAAAATATTGTATGATGGAATGGACGATGCAGACAATATATTAAAAACATTTCATAATTTGCAAGCGAGAATAGGTCAAGTACTCGTCTTGTAATGATCGAAGTATCAGAGACAATTTTATAGAAATTAGCGTTCGGATTTTCTACCGTTTCGACTTGACTGATTGAGCGAATCAATTTTTATAAAGTGTGAATTTGTTTGACAATGCTGTGGGTTATGAAATCAGAAGGTAATTATTTAATATATTTTGTAAACATAGTGACAGTAAATTAATTAAATGTTAATGATTAAATCGGCTAATTATCTTCAATAGCATTTTTTAATTTAGTTTAATGGCTTGCCTACTTATACAATTTTTTGGTATGTTGAAAGTAAAGATACTGTACTAACAATAATGTCTATATATTATGCACATATTGCGTTTGATACCGTCCATAGTTTCATTTTACGTTTGTCAGGGATCGTATTAGATAAACGTATAATCTTTTTTCGAACAAATATTTGCTTTATTTTATTGGCAGTGGCGTTGTAAATATTGACCTTCAAGTATTATATTCTATGTGCAGGCATAATTTTTTCCTATAACATCTGTCAATCGTATAATATTATTTTCTTACTTCACTCAGCCTTTGTTCCTCTCCTGAAAAAATTTGCATTTTTTTTGTGTTTGTGATTTATTACAACAGAAAGCGGTTTATTTGTATATGACGTGTGTAACAGGTCAGCGCTAATCAAATTACAAGTAACTATATATTAATATGATTTCAAACTATATAACGTTCCATTGAATTTAATGTTAATTATTCTTCTTTACTGTAAAAACTTCGTATTCCTCAAGAGTTCCGCTTGTAATGCTGCACACCATTGCGTAGCAATTACATTTCGATGTATTTGAATACCACGCTCGACCAAGAATATAAAAATTGCTACCAAAAGCCGGCCCAGTACTGTGATAATATCTATTGTTGTGGTATCCACGCTCAGGATTTAACCTACCAATGCGTGCTTCTTTGGTCGACTTTCCGTCAGACATCTCAAAAATGAAACTTCCATCGTCAACTTCACAGATGCAAGTACAAACACCTTCCGGAACAACTGAATAAAGGCCATAGGGCCTGCTATAAGCGGGCCATTGTGAAGGATTGTAACCGCCAAATATATTTGGATGATCCACAAGTTTTGCAATCACGATAGTTGGGCCCTGATTGGAACACATGTTACGGAATTTTATATCATCAAACCCGTCACGACTTGCCCGATAGATAAGGGTAAACTCATATGGAATCTTGGCATATGCGGTCTTTCTTGAATCAATCCATCCAGCAATATGGGCAGCGATAGAATGACCAACTAATTTCGAGTCCAATAATCTGGCTCTAGGTCGTGCCATAGTACAAACATCGTTTGGTTTTCTGGATGGTATCGTAATAAATTGTAACATTTTCTCTCGTAATTCTTTAGAAAATAACTTTTTGTATGGCCTAATTTCGTCATAATATTCTTCGGCCGACATTGTAAAAAATCGAACATGTTCAATAAGGCCGGCTAGCGTTTTCTTCATCAAGTTTACATCATCTGTCGACCATTCTGTCGGGGAAGGTTTTAATTCCGGATGTCGACTCTTGCCCCATCTCAAAACGTATTTCCACAATTCAACTTCTTTCATACACAAATTATCTTGTTGCAATAACAACGCGAATATATCTTTTTCCAATGTCAAATACCTGTTAGCGTCATCGAATATAGATGCGTAATTGTTGCATATAGCATTGATGCAAAGTAGTCTAAGCTTTTTGCATGATTCAAGTCGGAAAATCGATTCAAGCACTCGACCCGGTTGTTCTATTATGAAAGTGTCTTTTGATTCAAGAAGATAATTCCGCGCAAATTGAAGAAAATCAACTAAACCCAGTTCGTCCGTTGCAACCAGCAATTTAAGAATTTGAGGTACGTCACAATTTTTTATATTCATTTCTCCCGTATATAGATATCTACAATGTATGAATGTGACATTAAATACGCTGAGTACGGAGTAGTTGCTTAACGTATTGCAATTTACTTAATTTACCTTAAAATGATTTCAAACACATCGGCCTCGATGTTGGTTTTTTCAAAAATATAACAATCACCCTTCTTTTTGAGCCATTTTTTTGACAGTGCGGCTTGGAAATACGTCGATTGCGCGCACAAGATTTGAGTATGTACTTTAAATTCTTTTCTATCTTTTTGGTCACCTGCGTGTAGAATGAGGTCAAAGTTGTTACCAGTCTCGAATAGTTTCAAAAAGTTATTTGAAAATTGAGCATAACAGTTTTTAGACATGTTGGGCGCGTGAGGATGATGGTGTAATCGGTTCAAAAGCCTATTATTTTATAACCAGGTATTGTCGAATATGTTTACACATATATGTTCTGAAGATTAACCTGTTTCGGAATTATCACTATTTGATCACTGAAAATGTATGAGTCAAAATGTAATTTATTGGACAACCCCGAAACATGCCCAATTTCAGAATGGGCCGTAACATATATATCCGATATGTAACGACAATATTATTCGCGCCGAGTAATATTTATTTACATATTCTCACGCACACGGTTGATTACGTTAAACCCATTATGTAATTTATTTATTTAGGCTTGTATGAAATAAGTCTACAAGACCATCACATTTGCTATATTTAAGAAAAATATACGCCTGCTTTATGTTTAGTTGGCACATGACGATTGTCTTCTGACCAACAGTGGTTTTTCATAAACGATATCCAGATGTTTGGTTGTGGCTAAAACAATGCAAGATGATACAATTGTCCGTCATTTTTGTTCATTACATAATCAAGAACTGCATATTTCCAGCTATTTCATAACATTATGGCAACTTATTCATGGTAAGGCTCTATTTTACAATAGTTACAGGTCAACGTCAATTATATCTTTTGCTTGTGCAAACTATGGTAATTCAGTATTCTACCCTGTCTTCTCAGTTTATTTACGCTTTCATAAAAATCAATCTTAATCAGAAACCACTTTCATAGAATTTCTGTTAATCTTACATGTCTGCTTCTCCCAGAGACATTTGCCTTTTGCCCAATGCCCATAACTTATTGTGCAGGTTAAATAAACGAAAAGAGACTAACCAATTTATCAATTTAAACTATTACACCTTTTTTATCGTAAAAACCTCGTATTCCTCAAGAGTTCCATTTGAAATATTGTATCCAATTGGATAATAAAAAGGATAATTAGACGCTGAAGGATCTGAACTCCACGCACGTCCACGAATGCAAAAACCACTACCGAAACAGGGACCGTAACTGTGGCTATACCGCATATCGTGGTATCCATATCTATTTCCATTATAAGTGAGCCTACCTATGCGTGCTCCTGCGGTCGACTTTCCGTCAGACATCTCAAAAATAAAACTTTTATCTATAGTGCTGTAGGTTTGAGAGCCAACTGAACTATAAACAGGCCAATGTGAAGGATTATAGCCGCCAAATATATTCGGACGATTCGTAAGTTTTGCAATGACAACAGTTGGACCCTTGTTGGAACACATGCTACGGAATTTTTCATCATCAAATCCATCACGGCTTGCCCGGTAGATAAGTGTAAACTCATACGGGATCTCTTCATAGGCGGTATTCATTGAATCGATCCATCCAGCTACCAGAGCCATAATAGAATATCCGACCAATCTCGAATTTATCGGTCTGCCTCTAGCTTTTGCCTTAATATCGCTTGGCTTCCTGGATGGTAGCATGATGAATTGTAACATTTCTTCTCTCAACTTTTTAGAGAATAGTTTTCTGTATGGTCTGACTTCGTCATAATATTCGCCTGCGGACATTGCAAAAAATCGAATGTGTTCCATAAGACCGGTCAGTGTTTTCTTCATTCGATTCACATCATCTATCGACCATTCTGTTGGAGAAGGCTTCAATTCTGGATGTCTGCTTGTGCCCCATTTCAAAACGCGTTTCCACAATTCAACTTCTTTTATATGTAGTTTATCCTGTTGCAAGATCTGAGCGAATATGTCTTTGTCCAATGTCGTATAATCATCAGAATCGAATAGATATGTACAGTTCTTGCAAATTTCGTCAAGGCAAAAGAGTTTAAGCGTTTTGCACGATTCAAGTCGAAAAATTAATTCAAGCACTTGGACTGGCTGTTCAACTATGAATGATTTTCTTGATTTAATAAGGTAGCCTTGCGCAAATTGAAGTAGATCACCCAGATCCAACTCGTCTGTTGCAACCAACAATTTGAGAATCTGAGATCCATCACACTTTTCTATATTCACTTCACCCGTGTACAGGAATCTATAACGCCATACATATGTCATGGAATATGTCGAGCATGTAATAAGTTGTTATGTTCAAGGCATTACACATTACCTTAGAATAATTTCAAATACATCGGCTTCGATGTTGGCTTTTTCAAAAACATAACAATCACCCTTTTTTTTGAGCCATTTTTTTGATAACGCAGCTTGGAAGTAAGCTGATTGAGCACACAGTATTTGAGTGTGTACTTTGAATTCTTTTCCATCTGGTTTGTTCCCTGCACGTAGAACGAGGTCAAAGTTTTCGCCACTTTCGAATAGCTCCGAAAATTTCTTTGAATGTTGAGTATAAAAATTTGTGCACATGGTTGCGCGTGAGAGTTGTGATCGGGGCTCTCAAAGTCTATTTATAATCGACATGTTGCACATCCCATACCGTAACAATGAAACAAAGTTCCCTTTTTCCCGAAATTTCACCCGCCTGTCAGATTATATTTCCCGAGTTGGTAATATCCCGATTTATTTATTATGACCAATTGTATCGATATACTTTCTCACGCACACGGTTGATTACGGTAAAAAACCATGTATAACTTGCTATTATGGTTTATGTATTTATTTAGTTATTATCATTGTGAGAGCTGATGCCGAAACTAACCAATGGTTCCTTTTTGATAACTGCTGTATAGCGAAGAGAGAGAATATAATTTTAGGGTAGAATTTGATCAACCAATGAAAAGTCATGGTTTCAGTATCAGTCGAAATTTCAGCATCAGCCACGACATGTCTCTACCATCCTATTTTAGGAAATATGCATCTGATACATGACTGACCTTAATTGGTTGATAATCATGTGGGTGCCGCCATTTACATCTATGAGAGAGTTCGCACGTGCATAATACAATAATATTTAGTGTGGATTATGATGTGGATTGTTGTATTCTACTTTATGCTCTCAGTTTATTTACGTTTCCAACCGAATAAATCAGTATTACAATAATTGGAATAGTTACAACCGTCAAAAAATAGATTAGCGTGATAATAATTAACTGCCAATCTCATAAATTTAAAGAAACATGTAAATTAGTAATTTATTTAACCGTAAAAACTTCAGAGTTTCATTCGTAATCTGTAGTTAATTGAATAATATAGATTACGATTACTCGCTGAACGATCTGAAACTCCATGCGCGTCCACGAATACGAAAACCATTACTGAAACATGGACTATTTCCGTGGCAATATCGCTTATTGCAGTTGTCCATTATTGAGCGCGTGCTCCTGCAGTCGACTTTCCATCAGGTTCAGGCATCTCAAAATAAAAGTATGATCTACACTGCTGTCATACTGAGGATTATTATCAGACCACGAAGAAGGATTATAGTTACCAAATATATTTGGATGATCTTGAATGGACCCTTGTTGGAACACATGCTACGGAAATTTTTATCATCAAATCCATCACGGCTTGCCTGGTAGATAAGTGTAAATTCATACGAAATCTCGTCATATGCGGTATTCTTTGAATCAATCCAATGTTCAACCAATCTCGAATTTATCGGTCTGCCTCTAGATGTTGCCATAACATCGTTTGATTTCCTGGATAGTAGCATGATAAATTGTAACATTCTTCTTAGAGAATAGCTTTCGGAATGGCCCGATATTGTTATAATATTCGTCTGCTGACATTGCAAAGAATCGAACGTGTTCAATAAGACCGGTCAGTCTTCATTCGATTCACATTATTCTGCTAAAAGAAGGCTTCGCTTCCGGATGTCTACTTGCGTCCCCACTTCAAAACACATTTCCACAATTCAACTTCTTTCATATATAATTTATCCTGCTGCAAGATCTGAGCGGATATGCCTTTGTCCAATATCACATAATTATCAGATTCGAACAGACATGTATAGTTCTTGCAAACCTTGTCAACGCAGAGAGCCTAGGTGTCTTTGCACAATTTAAGTCAGAAAACTGATTCAAGCACTTGGACTGCTGTTCAACTATGAATGATTCTCTTGATTGAATAAGATAACTTTGCGTAAATTGAAGTAGATTCACCCAGATCCAACTCGTCTGTTGCAACCAACAATTTGAGAATCTGAGATCCGTCACACTTTTTCATATTCACTTCATCCATATACGGGTATCTATAATATCATACATATGTCACGGAATATGTTCCAAGACATCGCACATTACCTTAGAATGATTTCAAATACGTCGGCTTCGATGGTGACTTGTTCATAAACATAATAATCACTTTTTTTTCGAGCCAGTTTTTGATAGTGCTTGGAAATAACGCACAGGATTTGGGTGTGTACTGTTGACTTCTTTTCCGTTTGTTTGCCACCTGCATGCAGAACAAAGGTCAAAGTTTTTGCCACTTTCGAATAGCTCCGAAAAAATTTTTTGAATGGTGAGTATAAAGATTTGCGCGTGAGAATATGATCGGGTCCAACAGTGCTTTAATTTATTGTTATGTGCAATTACATACACTATGCAGCAATGTTTCCGCAATAAATGACGTATTGTGGTTCGTTTTTGAAATAGTATTGAGAAATGTTGTTCGAGTAAATCTTACTGTAAATTGAAAACAGTGGAGGTGTTATGATTTTTTCTCTCACACACACGGTCAGTGTAAATCATATGATTGGGTGATAATTAACGATTGTCAATCGGGATTAATTGAAATGACTATGATCGTATTCAACCACTTAATAGGATAGATTACAAATTAGTTTATCACTTTATTACGCTTAGTTAATAAATAACCGATTGGTGGTTTCACAAACTCTCTCAGTTACATAAAAGCGTTAGTCGACGCATATTTAATTGTTCACTTAATCGTTGTTTTCTAGGGTCAGAATATTGGAATATTAATTTATCCAAATCTCGAACTTTCAGCTGACTAAATTTGACAAGATTACATTCAATGATTCCGACATCGTCTTCCGACACTTTTACGCGCTAGACTACGCAAAGAAAATTTTCTAACTTTTTTTTGCGAACTATCTTAGTTATGATTCATGACGGTTTCGTTAAAGTTATGTGATGTGATGTGTAACTCATTATGTTATTTACAAGACCATCACATCACATGTTGCTATACAGTATTTTAGGAAAATAAATACGCCTGTTAGTTGACACACGACGACAAACAGCCGCCGCTACTAATCTATAAATTTACGTCTATGCTATTACTTAATTAATAAAGATATGCATGTTTATGGTTCTTGTCAGATGATTTCTAAATGATGTCCTGAGATGTTTGGTTGTGGCTTACAATAAGACAATGTTATGAAATAACTGGAACATGCAGCTCGTGATTATGTAATGAACAAGGCAACGGCAATCGTATCTTTTTGCATTACTGACATCATTATTTGTATCTATTGAAGGGCGATACAATTATATCTGAAATTTAGTATTGCTTGTATGTGCGCATATGGTGTAGTTTATTTACGCTTCATCTCAATTAGAAATGTCCACAGTCATAATGAATCAATATGTCAGCGAGAACACGTTTGCATTGCTAATTAAGATGGTAGAACGTAAAACAAAAATCACGTACTGTTATATTTTCAGTACTGTATATCCACTTTTATAGAATATCTGCTAATCTTACGTGTGTTTGCCTTTTCTCAGTGTCCATAATTTGTTGTGCAGATAAGATAAACGAAAGACGACTAAGTAAATTTATCAATTTAAAATTTCTCTATAATTTACCGTAAAAACTTCGTATTCTTCAAGAGTTCCATCTTTAATACTGTATGCCGTTGAATAATAAAACCCATAACTATTCGTCGAAGTATCTGAACTCCATGAGCGCCCACAAATACAAAAATGACTACCAAAAGATGGACCATAACCGTAGCAATATCGATAATAATTATTATTACGATGAGAGCTATTACGATTCCATCCATTTTTATTTCCACTATAAGTGAGCCTACCTATGAGCGCTCCTGCAGTCGACTTTCCGTCAGACATCTCAAAAATAAAACTTGCATCTGCATTGTTATAAGTTTGAGAGCCAACTGAACCATAAACAGGCCAATGTGAAGGATTATAACCGCCGAGTATATTCGGATGATCCGTAAGTTTTGCAATGACAACAGTTGGACCCTTGTTGGAACACATGCTACGGAATTTTTCATCATCAAATCCATCACGGCTTGCCCGGTAGATAAGTGTAAACTCATACGGGATCTCTTCATAGGCGGTATTCATTGAATCGATCCATCCAGCTACCAGAGCCATAATAGAATATCCGACCAATCTCGAATTTATCGGTCTGCCTCTAGCTTTTGCCTTAATATCGCTTGGCTTCCTGGATGGTAGCATGATGAATTGTAACATTTCTTCTCTCAACTTTTTAGAGAATAGTTTTCTGTATGGTCTGACTTCGTCATAATATTCGCCTGCGGACATTGCAAAAAATCGAATGTGTTCCATAAGACCGGTCAGTGTTTTCTTCATTCGATTCACATCATCTATCGACCATTCTGTTGGAGAAGGCTTCAATTCTGGATGTCTGCTTGTGCCCCATTTCACAACACGTTTCCACAATTCAACTTCTTTTATATGTAGTTTATCCTGCTGCAAGATCTGAGTGAATATGTCTTTGTCCAATGTCATATAATCAGAATCGAACAGATGCGTATAGTTTTTGCAAATTTCGTCAAGGCAAAAGATCCTAAGCGTTTTGCACGACTCAAGTCGGAAAATCAATTCGAGCACTCGAACCGGTTGTTCAACTATGAATGATGCTCTTGATTTAATCAGATAACTTTGCGCAAATTGAAGTAGGTTATCCAAGTTCAGTTCGTCCGTTGCAACCAACAATTTGAGAATCTGAGATCCGTCACACTTTTCTATATTCACTTCACCCGTATACAGGTATCTATAACGTAACGGCATAAATATGTCATGGATGCTGTCGCGTATACCATACGTTGGACAGGGATTGTTTGTTCAAAACATTGTACTTTACCTTAGAATAATTTCAAATATATCGGCTTCGATGTTGGTTTTTTCAAAAACATAACAATCATTTTTCTTTTTGAGCCATTTTTTTGATAGTGCAACTTGGAAATAAGTTGATTGGGCGTACAGTATTTGAGTGTGTACTTTGAATTCTCTTTTATCTTTGTCGCCTGCACGCAGAACGAGGTCAAAGTTTATGCCGCTTTCGAATAGCTGCGAAAAATTCTTTGAATGCAGAGTATAAAAATTTGCGGACATGCTGTGCGCGCGCGTGAGAGAAAGTGATCGATCCCAAAAGCGCTCCCTACTATTTATTATTATATGCATTGCAACAATGGTTCTGTAGTAAAATGACGTAATATGGGAAAGAGTGTTTGAGAAACGTTACTGAAAGCAATCTAAGTTGAAAACAGTGGGGTTTATAATTTTTCTCATACACATGTAACTCAATGTTATTCGAGATCAATATAACCGCTCCGAGTGTCCAGCTACTTAATGGATAAAACCTTGTTAACATGTATTATGCAATACTCTCAACATGGTGTTTTCTACACGTAATTTAACACTCTTAGCTGACAAATAACTTATATACGGCAACCGTACTAAAATCTATTACGAAATATGTCATGTCACTCAGTTTCGGAAATGAGTATGTTCCGCGTATCCGATTATCTTTTCCCTCATCAAACTTATCAGTTGGAAGTGATGTTCAGTAATTCATACTCCAATAGTTCTGATCAAATATAAAGTTATAAGAATGCTGTCACTTTAACAGATTGTTCCTTGTTTACCAAATACAGCATGGAACGTGTGAAAGCGAAATTGTCAACAGATCAGATCGCTACTACTTTATTTACTGTCTGTTACACATACCGCGCCATTGTTTACATCACATATGCAATGGAATGGCCATATTTAAATGATTGCAACAAAAACCTCACATTCAGTATGTGTCAATAATACGGTGATTTACAGCAGCTTACGACCATAGTTTGTACCCCTGGAGAGAGTGTCTAAATATTGCACTTACTCAAGATATATCCCAGACTGACAATACTTTATGGTTTTAGTATTTAGTTTCTATCTACGATTATCAGCTAATTTTAAATTGGCGGTTATTATCGATTAGTCACCCTACGCACCAATTATTTTGCGGCACTGCGTCACGCAGGCAGACTTTACAAAATATAACGGATTATTCAGGAAAGAATTAATATGTCAGAGTAAATGGATACTCGTTTATTGTTAAAATAAGGAATAAGAGATGGGCATCGAACGTCTTCGATATTAAGGACTTGAAATGTAATGAGAATACAAGCACACCGATGCTAAGTCGATTCTACGCCGCTTATATATCTTTCGAGTTAATAATTAATATATTTTTAGCATCATTTCTAATCTATTTACAAATCTATCGCTACTCCTATTCTGACTCCGTATTCTGTTCTGCGGCTTGTACCTCACTCTGCTGTCTGTTTGCTGTCTATTTGCTGTTGCTTTCTGTCTGTTTCTGTCTACTTGCTGTTATTTGCTGTCCGTATCACCATTCGGTACTTCGTGCAACAATTAATTTCGTATCGGGTATATAGAACCTCCGTACTGTACCTTTTCAAATTCTGTACTGTACTATTTAATGAAGCTGTACTAAATAAAA